GCCTTGGCCGTGTCTATAACTTTACGGTGCTGAGTCCATTCCTCGTCCGCTTGGAGGATGGCTTCTTTGAAGAATCCAGGAGCGGCATCTTGTAAGCTCCAGCTCAGTGGCACCGCGAACAATGCCGCATGCCGTTTGCGGCCCATTTCCGCTGCATTCTCATAGAAAATCACACCTTTGTCCAAGCTCTGGTAGAATCTTGTCAAAGCTTTCTGAAAATTCCTGATCTCTTCCCATTCGTCATCGTCGCACTCTAGCAGATTGACACGATGCTGTATGGGTACAATGACGGCGCCATACCTCACGAGCTCTGCTTCGGTGTGAAGTGTCATATACGTCCTCGTAGCAAGACTAATGAGCGGCGCTTGAGGCGGCTCGTTGCGGTCTTCGTGATGACAAAGCGGACAAGAGTCGAGGACGTTCTGCATCTTCTGAAACTCGCCGACCGCCGAATTGCGAAGAGCTGTGTCGCTCTTTGCCACTCGTTTGGCCAATTTAGTAGCATTGTCGTCCATGTATTCTAGGTCGTTGTCGAATTTCGAATCCTTTGCGATACGTTCGGCAAGTAGCAGCCCTTCGTTGCCTTGACCAGTGCCACGCGAGCGCCTCTCCGCTCGGACCATGTCTTCAATCGACATGTCTTCGTTTTCCTCAACATTACCGCGCTCCAGCCCTCGTTTGTTTGTGATTGCCTTTACCTCGCCCCCACGTCCTCCAGCCAGCATTCGGTTGTCCATATTGGAAAGTACAATAACGTCTGACTGGGTAGAATTTGCAGATGCAGCAAGAGCAGCTGCATACTCTGTTTCCAATGCAGCTAGATCAGGATCCTTAGGAAGCTTGGCCTTCATAATCTTCGCCTTGAGCTTGTTGAGAGCTGTCTGATCGAGAGGCATTGTCGTTGCGGGTGGCGGTGGCAGCGATCTGATCGTTCCTTGTTCACTCGCACCAAGATCGTCATGCGGATCTTCGTTATTACCGTTTGATGAAGCGCCACGGATTCCGGCCGCCATTTTGCGCTCCTGGAATAACTCGCCGCTGGGTTTGTCTAGGCCAACATAGTCCTTGCCATATCTCTCTCGTCGGTCTAGCTCACGCTCCTCTTCCCGGGCATCATCGAATTCTCGCAGATCCCCGTACCGCTCCAGAGCAACCTCATCCACGGATTTCCCGCTGTCCTTCGCTTGGCGATAGACGTTCTTGAGTCTGCTCATTCGCCATTGTGAACCTGAATCGCCAAATGTGTAAGATACCTCATGCTGCGCGGGCTCGTCTTTTACCGGCGCTTCCTCGTCATCCTCCTCCGCGAGATCTTTCTCCAGCTGGTCAAGATCATGTCGATGGAGCTTCCGACTGTGATCTTCCTTTGCGCTCACGAATTGTGAGGGCGGTGACTTTTTCGTTCGGCTTCGCTGTACAAAGTCTACGTCGAGTGAGGACGGCGCTTGCATCCACGAGTCTCTTTGCGCATAAGAGTCGCCTTGATCATTCAGTCGCTCGTCCAGCGTGGCTTCAGTGGGCGGTGCCGTCATTGCTTCCTTCTCGACCCATTCATCTTCCTCGTCTTCGACTTGATCTTTCGGCGACTCACTCCGCACCCTTTTCGATCGGTGTCGGTCTTCATGATGCTTGTGACTTCTCTCTCGCGATCGTTTCCGCGCATGCCTATCGTCTCTGTGCCCGTCCTCGCGCCTTGAAGAATGATGGTGATGTCGATGGTGCCGATGTTTGCCTTCATCCCGATGTTTACTCCTGTCGCGCTTCCTTTCAGGCCGAGATTCTTTTCCCGCCGCAAGCTCGCGCTCAAAATCTTCGAGGCCCATTATTCGAGCTGTGGGAATTGAGTCCTGTGCGGAAGAGCTGATGGCAAGGTGTGTTGCGCGGGCAGTTGTTGAGCATGACGTCGTGGCCCAAGCTTTCAGAAAGATTTCTGCGGACTTTGCGGTGTTTAATCAGCAAATATCACCAACTTTTTCCTCAGGACAAACAGATCTAAAGGTGTCAACTGCTCTGGAGGCTGGACTGAAGTGAGTCTGGAAAGCTTGAGATATCCCACAGCGAACGCAGCCGCTGCTGCGGCCACTATTTCGAGAATGTCAGCGCCCGCCACTGAGGCCTCTTCTGGACAGAAGCCCATAGCTGTAGTATGCGTCGGAATGGCAGGCTCCGGGAAGACAACTTTCATGCAGCGCATCAACTCGCATCTGCACCAGAAGCGGGACCCTCCATACGTTCTCAATTTAGATCCTGCTGTGCGATCGACGCCATACGAGTCCAACATTGACATTCGCGATTCGGTCAACTACAAGGAAGTTATGAAGCAGTACAATCTCGGACCTAACGGTGGTATTATCACTTCGCTGAATCTCTTCGCGACCAAAATCGACCAGGTTCTCGGTCTGCTCGAGAAGCGATGTCTCCCAGACACGACCGCCTCTGCACCGACCCAGCCGCCACACAAGCATATCTTGCTTGATACGCCCGGACAGATTGAAGTTTTTGTCTGGTCCGCATCTGGCTCGATCCTACTTTCAGCTCTCGCGTCGTCTTTTCCAACCGTACTGGCTTACATCATAGACACCCCGAGGACGACATCCTCGACTTCGACGTTCATGAGCAACATGTTGTACGCCATATCAATTCTCTACAAAACAAAGCTACCCATGATCCTGGTTTTCAACAAGACCGACGTCAAAGACCCGTCCGAGGCCATTGAATGGATGCGTGACTTTGACAGCTTTCAAGCCGCTCTTCGCCGTGAGGAGGAACTAGAAACCGAGGGCGGCTCCGGCGGTACTGGCTACATGAGCAGTCTGATCAACAGCATGAGTCTCGTGCTCGAGGAGTTCTACAACAACCTCAGTGTGGTCGGCGTGAGCAGCATGACCGGCGACGGGATCGACGACTTTTTCGTTGCTGTAGATTCAAAACGCACAGAGTTTGATGCGGAGTATGCGCCAGAACTTCAGAGACGCAGAGCTGAGCGCGAACGTGAGAAAGAGGGTAATCGACAGAAGGAAGTCGAGCGGCTGATGAAGGATATGGGCGTCGAAGAACGGAACTCGACGACGAAACCGCGGGAGGAGCCTGAGACGGTCAGTGAGGCCGAGGACATGAGCGATGACAGTGATGATGCTGGAGCAGATAATAGCGACGATGGTCATGGAGCGGGATCCGGCCTCAAACAGCGGTACGAGCAGGCATTGAAAGACAGCAACGACATGTCGGCCGAGGATGCGAGCTTTGCAAAGTACATTGCCGCGTCTGCAGCGAACCGGTCATAGGAAGGGGACGGCGCACGATATCACGAACTGATCAGCAGTAGATAATGATACCCCTTTCGAGGCATGCATAATGCTATTTACGAGAATGCCTCTTTTTTCACTGGACTTGTTCTTGTTCCTTCCTCATCCCACCACCAAACTCCAAACTGCATGCACAATGCTCATCAAACTCACTTTCGCTCCTCGCCCGCAAAGTCATAATATCCACCGCCAAACTCCAAACTGCCATCCTGGAACACCGTCTCTTCAGACAACTTCCAATGTCCTACATCCGGATCCCCACCTCCCTGCCCAGCCCACCATCCTCTGATATCCCACCATCTAGACCCCCACCTCCACTCATACACGCGAACACTGATCTCAGCCCTAAAGCTCTGCACAAGCGCATTGTCCTTCATTCCTTCCGGAAACGGAGCGCTAAGCGGGAAGAACGTCTCCGGCAGTCCAGATGCATGCACATCGATCCGCTGCCGCCACGAGCACGCCGAAAGGGTGAATGTGCGATTGGCAAAGTCCGGTTTCGCGGAGAGCGTAGGCGAGAGGGAGAACAGTCGCAGCGCATAGGGTGGGCGGAAGTCCAGCTCGAATATGCGGTCTGCGTGAGATGGGTGCGTCGTCGAGCGGTAGCCGAGCAGGTACGCTTCTGTGCCTAGGATCTGCCCGCCCGCGATGCAGATGCTCTGGTATGGAGATGGGTTCTTGGAAGAGGACTTAGACGGCGGAATGCCTTTGCGGGCTTGTACCCAGATGTGTGCTGAGGGAAAGCTGTTTGCCCAGTTCTTCTCTTGATGGACGGTGGCGATGCCTGATCTGTCCTCGTTTGCGAGAAAGGCGCAGTCTGGAATGTCGAGTTCGAATGTGCAGTCTGAGGCCAGCGAGTGGACGTGCCAGTGCAGCGGCAGCGGCAGATGTACGAGTGCGCTCTCGGGCGTCTCTGCAGTTGTCGACCAGGGCTGACGAGTCGTTGTACGAGCGGAGAAGGAAAAGTCCGCATGCTTGATCGAGTATGTAGTGACGCTGTCTGCACCGACGGCTACGGATCCCATGCCGTCTGCTCGTAGCTCAAATGCTTTGTCGTCCGAGGTCTTGACCATTTGCACCGAATCGACAGATATCTCTCGTTGAAAGTATTCGTTTGTCCCTTTGGGAACGTATGTGAATGACACAACATGTGGCCGGTGTTTGGCCTTTGGAACAGTGGTGATGATCAGGGCCAGACGTGCTCCCGAGGGCAGATCGAATTTGGAGTAGTAGCCTTCGAATTGAGCGCCGGGATGAGGAGCAAAATGGTCCATAATATGTAGTTGTAGTGCTGCAGTATCTGGAGAGTTGCGCTATGCTATTGTGACTCTCGATTCTAATATCGCTCCAAGGATTGCGCTAAGCACAGATTAAGGCAGGAAAATACCTACAGATAATTATTCCATACACGAAAAGAAGCTCTGCATCCTTGTTTCATGTATAATTCAAAGTGTTGCGGTCAACTTACTGTGGTTACATCTCAATGTGGTCTCGAAGTGTGTACGTATGTCATGTCCGACGTCCGACGACCTCCAGAAATTCTGTCCAACGTCTCGTCCACCACCACGCCGTCCACACTCTTTCGACCGCCAAAAATCAACCACGCATCGTTCTATCAATTTTCAGATGATTCTAGGACAATGCGAGGTCAAAAAATTCATTCCTGATGACGAGAAAAATGTCAAAAAGCGTGATTTGTAGCTGAGAGTGGTTTCGATCCACTGTCCTCCGGGTTATGAGCCCGGCGCGCTTCCGCTGCGCCACTCAGCTGTACTGATAATAAACCAGGTCCTCGAAATAAATATATATGACAAAATCGATTTAGGTACCCCTAGGATCATGGCCGTCGATTGGACTTTGGACATCGGGAGCACTGTAAATTCTGTGGAGTGAAATGAGTCATTTCGCGACACTTCGTTTCGAATTTTCCGTGGGGACATGGTTGGTGATGGGAGCAACCACGACTCGTTGTCCAAGTGCCGCTTTCGGCTTTACGCGCGAACTTCACGTCAAAGGTCAAGGCGTGTTGCTCCTAAATAATTCGATGACACACAGCACAGAATATACCAGCTTTATTCATATAGTTGACTTAGCTCGTTGGCCTGAGTTCTTCACTGCCGGTCTGTCTGCTTGACTAGCAGCGAAATTCCATGCCGTCGGCCGTGCGGTCCTTCCAAGCAGCACTCCTCTTCATCGCGATGCCAATGGCCTTGCACGTCATCCTGGCAATCACCACAAGTCTCTTCTTGACGATTGCGCTGCCCATCATCCTCTGAATCTTCCTAGAACTTAAGCTGTCGTCAGTCTCGCCACCTGTGTAATGGTTAGTGCTGCACTTCATTCTGCGACGCCCCCTTCACTTTCTCCTGCATGCTGTCGTGTAAGGTCTCCTGCGTTTCCTTCTGCAAGTCTTCCCGCGAGTTGTCTTGCGAGTCGTCTTGTGAGTCCTCCTGCGTTTCCTTCTGCAAGTCCTCCCGCGAGTTATCTTGCGAGTTGTCTTGCGAGTCGTCCTGCGAGTGGTCTTGCGAGTGGTCTTGCGAGTGGTCTTGCGAGTCGTCCTGTGAGTCCTCCTGCGAGTCATCCTGTGAGCGAACAATTTGCGCGGAGACTTCCTTCGCGAACCCCTTCCCCAAAAATTTGCATATGCATCCAATGTCAGGAGCATCTCTTGGCCCGTCACGAGGATGAAATGTAGAGAATAGCAGGTACAGAAATTTAGTATCGGAAGGCTAATTGAATGCTGATAAACACTCTACATAGCATACGCCATACATGATCTGGCAGCGCTGCCTTGAACTTAGGCTAACGGCAGAGTCAAGACGACAAGCGCTGATGTTACACGTATCACTATTGAGGGCCACGATCATAGTTTTCCTCGAGATGTCGATGAATCGTGTCGCTCGTAGCAACAGAGTGACCATGGGCAAGAGCAGGAGGGTCCGAAGACAGCAAAGGATTCGCGTGTGATTGTGTATACTGTGCAATCTGCTGTGAGATCACGGTGCACATGTCATGGTAACGGCAGTGGGTCCGAAAATTGCATGTGCGTCCAATCTACTCTCGCTCATTCGTTTCAATAAGTGAGCTCGTGAACCAAGATCTGCATTGCTCTTTCGCTCTTTTTCCTCTCTTGGTTTTGATCCTTCTCCTCTTTCTCCTATATCTCCAACTCACCATATCTTGGACTCACACTCGCACATCTTTCTCTTTCCAGACCAAAAAGCGAAACGCCGTGGAAATGGTGACTGAACGCCTTTCATCCGAACCTGAGGCCCCAGACATGGTAATTCCGCCTATCACAGAGTCAGCTCAATGGATCACCATTGATCCAGCGCTGCTCAGTCATGAGCAATATGTGCTGCATCACAACCTTGCGGCTCTTGCAGGTCGACTAGACCTCTACTACAACCTTTTTGTCAAAATCTACCTGTACGTTCCTGCTGAGCCGGTTTCGATTGGATACAGGCTGACGAATTCAATCTAGAAAGCACATGCACGCCGCGGCCGAGGATGCCAAAGATGAGGATATGTCGTTGTCTGGAGAAGTGTCCGACATCCCCTCCGACGATACTGTAGGTACCGATGAGGACACAGAGGTGGCTGAGGAGGAAGTGGATCAAACAGACCAGACTGGCGCAGAGACAGATGCCGGAAAGAAATGAAAGGACACTGCGCATGACACCTTTTTCCGGACCGGGTATCGTGAAGGCGAGGGAATGGGATAACAGCAGTCACACGGTCTGTAGCTTCTTCCAGAATCATCATCAATGATGGATGAATTTATGATGGTGCAGAAGGAGCCTTCTAGTGAGCGTTGTGCAGAGAATATATGAAATTCACGCAGGGCAACTCGGATCAAAGTTCTAAGCAAGTGCGAAAGCAACCAATGGAGTCGCACTCTTCACTGGCTTGATATAAGTCCAAGGCGCGGGTGAACAAGAAGGTGACTACTACCTCTTTCGGGAACAGTTCCTGGGGTGGAAAATATTCCGGCCGATGAAGTGTAGCGGCGCATGGACACGCACGATCTTGCCTGACACTTCGCTAAAACATGCGACTGGTCAGAGGCTACGGGCGGGGGCATCGGGCGGCCATCGGCAGCAGGCATCGGGTGGCCGGCGGCAGGCAGCATGCCCTCGGTTCGCTCGCGCACAGCCAAGCGCACACTGCAGAAACGCACAGGCTGGGGCTGCTGGACTGCTGGGCTGCTAGACCGATGGGCTTGCTGGGCTGCTTGCATTACCCCTCGCTCTCGTGTGCGTTCGGGTGAACCTGCAGTGTGAGCGGCCGGCCAGCCAGTCGCTCACCGTGGCATATTATTGTTCGCCGCCTTGTGCATATTGGCACAGAGAATTTCCCGTCCGACTATAGTCCAGAACCTTCTTCTATCACTTTTCACATGAGTGCGTCGTACAAGCAGCTCAAAGAATCTTAGCCGTTGCCGACGAGGAAAGACCTGCCAAGGGCCCGCCTAAGCCTGAGCCTGAGCCGACGAGCACCCTCCGACCTCTGAGCGCTGTACGCCGCTCCTCACATTTTCTCCAACCCGGCCGCTACCGGGGCCCGTGCTCCAGCGAAAAACCGCATCGCTCGAAATTCACACTTTGGCTGTCTGCCTTTGCTTCTGCTTCTGTCCCGCCGTGCCTTTACCTTTCTGCCCACCGCCAGAAGATCTGTCTGGTCACTCGAGGCGGTAGAGGAGTCTGGATTACTGGAGCTGCTGGAACAAATCCTCGCTATTGCACTAGCACCTTTCCATTGGCGGCTTTGCGGCTTCTATTTCGCCGGGCAACCCTGCTGGACATCTGTCCTTGACATCGCTTGCCACCACGGCACACCCTCTTACCGGCACTGAGTCCTCGTCCACATAGCTTATCTGCCAAGTGGAATCTCTCGTCCCACGGAAGAGCGTTTGCTACCGCTGCCAACTGTGATCGCAAGTCTAGTACTGGTTTTCGAGTATCGACAGTCCTGTTCACCTGGTCCCGTGCTACAATTCAAACTGCTCCAAATAGCACCTCGAATCACAGAAGCTGTACCGGGCTTGACCAAGTTCTAGCCACAAGCAGAGGCACTCAGGCTCTGCCTACATCTTCTTCACTCGTCTTCCATACCCTCGGGGAACAGAGCGAGCCACGAGCTGTGCGGAGAGGTCGACTGGTGAACCTCTCCGGACATAGCTCGGATCAGGGGACCAGCCATCCCAGACTCCGCTCTGTCTGCGACGGCATTTGGGAGAAGCCGCCTGCTTCTTCCCCCATTTTTGGCCAGCAGGTTCTACCAATCCTTCACAATGGCTTCTACCAAATCAGAAGCCCCCGCCACGGGCTTCTCGTACGCGCAAGCGGCAAAAGGTCAGGCGGCATCTGCTCCTTCCACCAAGCCATCCAGTGTTGGCGGCTCTGGAGCTTCGACACCAGCCACAAACCTCGCCACAGACTCCACATCCAACACTAATCGTGGTGAAGAGCTGGCTGTACCAAGTGTTGAAGCTGCGGACAAATCGCAGCCTGTTGAAAGCTCAGAATCAAACGGCAGCATATCTGCGGAGAACACAAAGTCTCAAGAAGAGTCTAGCGGTGCAAGACTGAACGATAATGTCAGCGATTCTGCCGACACATCGTCAAATGGTGATAAGACATCCAAAACCGACAGCTCCAGCCGGTCAACGCAAGCGACTGACGCACAAGACGGTGGTGACGATTCCAAAGAGGTGGCCGAAACAAAACCCGCGAAACCAGTGTATACCGAAGCCAAACCCCCGACTGTCAACATCTGGGCACAACGTGCTGCAGATCAGAAGGCCAAGACTGCTGCGGTACAGCCGCCGACTTCGTCCCCCACAATTTCATTCCCGCAAAGAGGTAATGACAGCGAGCGAGGCAAGTTTGATCCGCGCAGGAAATCGGAGCAAGGCTTCAAGAAGAGCGAGCTTCCAAACAAACCGCAAAATGATGTCGCGCGTGGCAAATTCCGTAGAGACGGCCGTCCCGAGGAGTTTGAGGCTTCTCGAAAACCTCAGCCCAAGCCCCGAGATCGTGCAAACTCGGAAATTCTCACCCCTGCCGTGTCGAGCAATGTCGCGTGGCCAAAGCCGACTGACATTCACGACGACGAGCGCAAGAAGCATCAGGAAGAAAAGGACAAAGCCTCGATCAACGGTTCGAAAGCTCACGGAAAGACTGAATGGACTCGGATGCCCTACACCCCCACTGCAGTATTTGAGACCAGAATAGAAGGCAGAGGGTCTTATCGAATGGGTAAGGGTGTTGGCAGGGCTGGTCAGCCCACTTCTGCTAGAGGGCCTCCACCTCAGGGATCGATCACAGGCGACGCTCCTCGAGGTGCTGGAAGAGGCTCTGATCTTGTGAATGGCGGCCGCATCAACGGTCGCAATTCAATCGTCAAAGGTGAACGTGAGCCTACGTCGCCTCAAACGAAATCGGCTTCTATTTCTAGCAGTGAGAAAGGTATACACGCCCAGGATGAGCCACTCCAAATCCAACCGAACGGCACAATCGCACCAGATCTCCCCTCCTCCACCAATGTCGAAGAAACTTCAGCACAGGCAGTGCCTACCGGTCAAGACTCTGCATCTACGCGCAAGGGCAAATCCCCCAAAAATCAAGAAGCGTCCTTCATGCGCTCCGGCAGTAACAATGAGTCCAATGCGTCAATCGCCAACGACACCAGCGCCGCCGACGCTTCGACTGGTGTGAATGGGACCACAGAAAGTTCGAAGGTTTCCAAAACTTCTGTATCTGACCGGC